TTATTTTGTTTCATAAGAAAGGAAAAGATAAATGTATAATAAATATTTAAAATAAAAAAACATGTATATGCCCCCATACCCTAAAAAAGATAAAGATGATTAAAAAAAACATTGTGATCAATTTAGTCTTTTTAGTAATGAAAAGCATGTTTCCACCTCTTTCTGATTAATTTGCGTGGAACCAAAATTTTTGTAAGTTGCATGCAAAAACTTATTTTCTTTTCATTATGTAAGAATCAAATGATTGAATATATAGGAAGGAAAAAATTGAGAACGTTTCACTCCTCTAATCTTTGTTCCCTCCATTTTCAGCTTAGACAAATAATTTGTTAGCCCTTTTGGGAAGAGGGCAAGAGGAGGAGATGAAAGAGGAGAAAGGACATAGATAAAAATTAGTTTCCTTTACTTATTTAGTACTTTCTCTAATATGAAGCAAAAGATTAAATTCATAAGTTTTTATTTTTTTATTTTTTCACTTTGAGAAGAAAAAGAGAAAGAAAAAATGTTTTATATTGTTTTCAAAAAGATTTTTAAACTTTTCTAATATGCTGATAATTTTTTTAAAAAAAAGATTAAATACTCTTGCTTTTATAAAAAAATTAAAGATATTTATAATGTTTCATATATTATATTTCTTTTTTTTACTTTCCACACATCTACATAAGCACCTAAGATTTTCTTTTAATTTTTTTGTTTCATTTCATTATCGTTTTTTAGTTTCTATGCACATCTACATAATCACATAAGATTTTTAAAATTTTTTCTTTTGTTTCATTTCATTTTCTTTCATACAAGCCAGACAACCTGCAAAACTATTTCACTTTTCTTCCTTTATTTTTTTTTCCTTTCAAATTTTTTTCTTTCTAAACAAGATATACCCTTAATCATCATCATAATAACATGGTATACCAGGTTTTAAACAAGACACGCCAGTAACGTCCTTCAATAATAATAAAGTTTTGGATCATAACTTTATTTTAATAAGAAAAGATTTTTCTACCATCTTATACTGCACAACTAGGGGTGAGCAACGGGTGGGTTTGGTCGGGTTCGGGTGAAAAATGTCCAACCCATTGTAAACCGACTTTGAAAAAATGTGACCCATATCCGACTGACTGAGCTTTCGATTTGAGGCGGTTCGGGTTGAAACGGATTCGGATTTAAGCGGGTGGGTATAATCGGGTTTGAATTTTTTTGTAAACCAATTTATCTTAAGGAAGATGAAGCTTAAAACGATAAAAAATATTTTTAAAATAGTATATAAAAATAGAATGAAAGTGACAATAGATGGTGTAAGTAGATTCGTAGTTGAAACATTTACAAACTAAAGAAGCAAAAATAAAAGATAACAAAATTCATAGTTGTTACATGGAAAAGAAATATAAAGTTAGATTACAAAATCATAAGAAATCACAGTCACACAAAATGTACTCAAAATGGAGATAAGAAGATGGAAAAGAAAGACAAAGAAAGAAGCAAAAAGATAACTCTAAAAATGGACTAGTGTGTTGAGAAGTTGAATGAGGAAGGAGAAGACAAAATAAATATCTAAGTTATGAGAAAAAGGAAAAAAAAATAAGTTACAAATTGATGGCTATATTATACTTGAAATAAAGACTTTTAAGTTTGGACTATTGTTATTTAGTTATACAAAAGTAATAAAAATTTAAACTTATCTCATTTTCGGTTGGGTTCGGTTTTTGGCGGGTTTAAAAATTTAAAACCGAACCCGCCCAATATAACCCGTATAAAATCAAAATTTTAACCTGATTTACCCATAAGACCCGCCCGAACCCACCCAAAAACAATATTTTTTATCGGGTTTTTCGGGTTCGGTTCGGGTGTCGGTTTAATGCTCACTCCTATGCACAACGATATGATATACAAAGAAGTATTTGTACATCAATAAGGAAGAAAAATTTATCCAACACCCTTGAGTTTAAAGAAAGATATTAGTCAGGGATTCGAATCATACCTTGTGTATGCAACCGCGTTAAATCTTGGGGTCAGCTATTTCACCCTTTGAAGTGCATCCAATATAACGAGGAGATTAGTCACTGCTATCGGCAGTAGATACTCCAGTAACGAACAAAAAAAGAAAGATATTAATCTCTAATAATATAATATAAATTAAGGTTTAAATTCTCGTCGAGTATTTTCATATTTAGTGTCCAAATGTATCTTAAAACTGAAAAAAAAAAAGACAAAAGAAACTAATCAGTAATTTAGTACAATATAATATTTCATCAAAAATGCATAACTGTGTTTTGGGTCCAATACTAAGCGATGTTTTTATGAAATTAAAAGTGTTTCATTTTATTAGTTAAAATGTTACATCAGAAATCATGAGAAGTCATGTATTGCTATACTTCATATTAGAAGGCTTTTCCACTCTTGAATTCTTAATAAGATTTTTTTTACAGCAAAGATGTCCTCTAATTAATAGTATTTGATTATTAAAAAAATTCCTATTAAACAAAAATTGTTTTATTGCTAAAAATACATGAAATTCGATATCAAATATGAAAATTTATTAAGAACGACATAACATAAAAGACAACCGACATAGCCATACAAATTAAAATTTCGTTATGCTATAAGCGAAAAAACATAAAAATAGAAATTGCAAAATGACACACAAGTAAAAAATTAAGTCTTATGTTGGGTCTTGAAAGTTCACCAGTTTAAACCAAGGCTCGAGGCTCGATAAACACCTGTAAAAACACTTACAAATTATTCACTAACAAAGTCTATATATATATATATATATATATATATATATATATACACAAAAATTGAACTTATATCTTTTTAAATATATGAGTTTGTTTCATATCAATTGAACCAATTTTGTTGGTAATACACAAATTAAGTTTAACCCAATGATGACCTGGTTTTGGACAAGAAACAATGAACTATTGATACCAACTAGTTTAGAAATCAAATGAAGATGAAACGAATTAATAAAATGTCTTTTAGTTTCAGTCATTTACGTGCACGAACCGCTATTAACTAAAACTAAACAAAGACACATGTGTCATCAATAATAACAGATGGATGGCTTGGATAAGGATTGACAGTAGTAACAATGTAGAAACTAAAAATGTGATGTGTGAACAAGACAATGTTTTTTTTTATGTTATTTTATTTTATTTTTATTGATATATTAGTAATTAGTAAACTATGCCAGTTAGGAGAATTCAAACTCATTTTCTCCTTAGCACTCTAGTCATATGTCTCTCTTACATCACCTAGATCACCTAACAAGACAATAATTATTATTACACATCCAAAAAAAAATTGAAAAATAAGGAATTAATGTTAAAATAAGTGTTACTCAAAAAGATAATTATAATAGTATTAAAATAAAAAATTTATTGATAATGCACTACAATATAAAATAGTCTTGCACTAATAATTAATTAACTGTTATTATTAATATGACTTTTTATTTTATAATAAAAGTCAATAATTTATTATAAATGGTGATTAATTTCTAATTGAATGAAAAAGTAGAACAGTTTTAGATCGATAATATATTAGCTGAGAATTGTGATTTACAATCAAATTATCATTTGTTCTATCACAAAGATATAATATTATCTCCTTCAGTTTTTTTATTTATTTTAAATTAATTGCATTAAATAATACGATGTATATGTAAGTATTCATTTCAAAGTTAAAATAAAATGCAAGTAATTTACAACTTTGAACCTATAAACCTGTTTTAGTAATTTTCTTCCTGGACATAATTTCTTTTTGTGTTTATGAGTGGGTGGGAATCTATATATTAATAGAATTTGAATCCAATTATCATTCCTAATATACAAATTAAGATATAACATAATAATTAAATATCCAGTTAATATTCCAATAAAACTAAAGTGAATCCTTTTAATTTTATGTACTTCTTTATTTAACTTTACAAATGTAAAAAGAAATTTATATTTTATGTTAGACTTTTTTACTTATATATCAAATACTTTTAAAAAATATATCAACATGTGTTATGAAGAGAGTAAAAATATAATTTATAAATAGAGTATTTCAATTACACTATTTGCCTAAATTATATCGCCATTTTTTTTTGTTTTAAAAACACACACAATTTCTAATAAATTAATAAGTGTTATAATTTAGTATATTTTTAATGCTGAATATATATTTAAAATGTTTTTAATAAGTGTTATACTCTAGTATAATATATGTCAACTAATCTTTAATTAATCTCCGTAAGATATTTTTCTATACTTTTTTTTAATGCTTGTACCTTACAAAATTCGTTTATAGATATATAAGTGCCTTAAAATACTATCAAATTTATATTACTCTCGCCACAAAATTAATTGTTTCATGTAACATGTCATATATATGTTCAATTTATGAGTTTATTTCTCTCTTAATAAATAACAAATAAATCTCACTCTTGAGAAACTGACATTCGAGGTTTGAATGGTAATTGCTGGAAGACAATTTCATAATATGGTCCGGGTTCTGGTAGGGGCCGGAAAACAATCTCCCTTATAAAAAAAGTAAAAGATTAAAATATAACAATATGTTAATATGTAATTAATATTTAATAATAATAAAAAGATACGCCTATAATATTATACACCTTATACTACTAATAAGCTAAAAAAATAGGTCATTAATGCTTCACTGTTCAATTCATTGGAAACGACGGAGTGACTTTTCTTTGATTTACAATGTTTGCACTTCTGATTCGAATACTATTTGTTGGATGTGGTCATGGTGAAAGACTAGAAATGTATTAGGACTTTGATCAGAGAGACTTGAAACTTCCATTCCAAGCCAAATATATGACAATATTGCATATGATACACTTACTGTTATTTGTTTATTTATGGTGAGTTTGGGATAAACTCAGGTTGGATCATTATCATTATCTTTTTCTAAAGCCAATCATTTCGATTACCAAAATAATGAAGGAATGTTTACGGGAAATGGACAAAATAAATAACTATGATTAATTAGTCAGTGTCAGTCCATTAAGTTCCCCGCCCGCGCATGACATGTGTCAGGTTGGGAACGGCTCTTAAACTGAGTACACTTGCACACTGATTATATAACCATAACTGACTAAACATTCAGACAACCTAATAAACTACAATTAATCATAGAATGATAACCAATTAAGCTAGGCTATCATTATCATCATCATATAATTAACAAGTTTAGTATATATGGATGAGGTACTTAAGCGAAATCTGGTGATCTGCGAGTGTAGGAGTTGAGACTGAGCTCCAAGGAAGCACGAGAACCATTCTTGAACCCATCTTCAGTGTGATGATACCAGGTGTTTCCATCATAGTTATAAGAATTAGACTTGAGGTTGCAATAGCCATGAATGTCCTCACCGTGCATAGGGAATAAAGGGAGGGTTTCAATCTCAGCATCACCATCCTCTTCTTCTTCATCTTCTTCGAGGGTTTCTTCAGTTGGCCTTATTTTGTCAAAGAAGTTGGCGTAGGCTGAGGAATATGGATCCACACCAACCCATCCCAAGTTGTGGTTTACTCCAACATGGCCACTGCTACCCCCAGCTGATATTGAGCAGTCCTAAGAAATTAAAAGGGTTAAAATAACTACACTCATTTAAAATGGTTTAACTCTTTGCACAAAAGATTTCTAAATCTAGACTTTTAATCTCTAAAAGTGGCAACTAGTAATGAGCTAGTGAGCTCTTGTTTGAATACCATCAATATATGTTCCCTATCTAATTGGTGCCTTGGTGGCTTCAAGAGAATGAAAAAAAAATGTAACTTTTACTATTCATGAAAAGTTTTCCTATATACAATCCTTGGTTGGGGTTCTTCCTTTTATGGAAGTTTCAAGGATTGAACAACGTAAATGCCTGATTGTCGCTCCTTTTTGTTGTTAAAAAAGATATCATTCATGGGTGTGGTAGACTAACATTTACTTGTGCACTCTGCAATCTTACATGAACGATTGATGATGACAGCTGTGATGGATCATGGATATTGCTTTCCATTTCAATGCATCATGCACATGAGCAGTGATAAAAGAGAAGAAAAAAAATATATAGCTAGGAATCCATTCGAGGGGTGTAGTTACAAATTATATAAAATCATTCATTTCCATAAAATTCCAATTTGGAGACATCTTAGTAACTTACCCTAAAACTTTTTTCCATGGGCACAGAACCATATCCATAATTTCCCATCTGCCCCACAGTAACCATCTCAGCAGAAGAAGATGATGCAGGAGAGATCCCTATATGTAAGATAACAACTAGTTAGTATACTTGTCCGAATCCGAATTAAAAGGAGCAAGGTTAATGAAGAATAGAGTTGAATGATTTACCAGTAGAAGACAAGTTAGAATACTTGGTGTGAAGGGGGTCATCAGGTTTCCAAGCAGAAGCAGAAGCAGAAATATTTCTTTGTTGCATGGGGACATTATTATCAGAAGTGAACCTTTTCTTCTGCCTTTCTCGAGCTTTGTGGTTCTGGAACCAATAAAAGACATTCTTGCCTTCAATCTTACCGTACTGCCTCAGCCTAGCAGAGATCCTCTGAATCTGCTCTGCACTGGGGGATCTAATTCCATTGTTGTAGTAAAGGTCCTTCAGTATTCTTATCTGGTCGCTTGTGGGAGTCCACCGTGTACTACTTTGCCTGCTCAGAAACCCTCCTTTTCCACTGCCACCATCCTCGCTTTGTTGGCTCGGTTGTGCTTGTTGAGGTTCCATCATGCAAACAAAACAAAAACAAATGAGTAGTGTTATTGTTGAGGGGAGAGTGGGGGCTAGGGGGTTATAAACTTATAATAGCTGATGGATGAGCCACATAGTACATGGAGTAATAAAGCGAGAAAATCACAAATAATATCTGGGAGAGAAGGACTGAGGTTGACAGAGTGGTGTTCATAAAAAGGGAAGGGACAAAAGAGAGCTTAGAAAGTGAGGGTACTATCAGGAATTACTTGGATGGAAAGCCATGATCACCTATATATTATTATATATATATATATATATATATGCAAAAAATTAATAATAAAGTATTTGCACACACAGACAGTGTAGAGAGAGAGAGAGAAAGGTGGAAAAATGAGGCATGAAATGATATATTGGATGGAAGGAAAGAAAAAAAGTAGATGTTCTGAATGAATGAATGAATGGCAATGGAATGGAATGATGCGGGTTGTGATTTGGGTGTTCAATAGGTTCTTCTTTTGATGGAGATATCAGACATGGCCCCTACTTATAAATATTTATTTTTATTTTTATAAGAAATCCTACTCTATAATTAAGTCGAATCACCAAGCTACCAAGATATTCTGTACTTTGACGTGGAGGGTAAAATTGTATTTATAAACTTATGGTGCATCCTATGGATTCCAAATAATGTTTTATTTATTGAGTGAAAAGAAAATAAAAAGAAAAAAGAAAAAAGAAAATAAATTATATATATTTTTTATTATTCTTCTTTAATTTTATGTTCATATACTCAAAAAAAATCTCATTTTAATATCTTTCATCGTTTTTCTATTGCATTATTATTATGTTTATTATTTTTTTTTTTAATTTTTCCATAGACTCAAAAGGAGAAGTACTAATAGAATTTTCCTTTCCATTAGGGCTATTTATTTCTTATGTTGTGCATTGGTCCGCATATTCTATAGGTATTTCAGGAAGTAGAGCTTTTCAAATTGTACTTGCATGTGAGCCTGCAGGAGGACTAGTGATGATGCATGTGCAATGAAGACTATACCCTATGTGACAAAAGATTTTCAATATACAGTCTTGAGAGAAGAGGGGATCTTAAAAGGTCTATTATAAATGTTTCTTCACAAGCCTGCATTATCGACACTGCACCAAAGACCAAAAACAGAAAAATAATAATGTAAATACTTCTTCTCAAACTCTCTTTTGGTTATACGTACCTTTCAACTCATTTATCCTCAACCAGAAACAAATTTTATTTTCTTCTTGCTCCTTTTCTATATCAAACTTTCTTCTCCTTCATTTTATTTGTCACTTTAAAAATATTTTTTATCATTATTAATTATCATAAAAATTGGAATAAATGTCACAGCAACATTACGATTCTTTCCGGTATATATGCTACACTTTTCAACTTATTCGTATAAAGTGACTGCACTTTATCTGAAGAAAAGAAAATAGACAGACCAATAAGATAGGCTCAAACGATGAGAAAATCTTGAAACTATAGATCGTAGTGAGCCTATTGAAGTGGTTTAGTGAGAAATTAGTTATCAAATAAGCTACAACCCTTTGATTTCTCTTGTCTTGTGTCTCTTTTTGTCTCCATATATACCTACTACGCCTACAATAGTTCATCCCAAAATAAAACCAGTTGTTCATACGATCACACCTACTACTATTAAGAAAAAAAACTTGCGTGTGGGGGTATAAGCGTCAACTTAAAGATTGATAGAATTTACAAACAACCCGTTTGGGAAGTGTTTACATGTTTTACAAAAATCTATCCCATAATAATTTTTGTTATTATTATCAAGAGTATATTTCATCGAATATGAACACTATTTTTTTCTTTTAAGATTTGACATATATAAAGTAGATAAAAAAAAATTGTTTCTGTATGAATTTCCTGTATATGCAAAAATCAAGATTCAAACAACTACCGAAAATAAGAATATATGAAATGAAAAGAATAGTATTATATTTATGTCTATAAGATTGGTATATATAGGATATAGTAGCAGTAAATGTAAAGGTAAGTGGATGGAATTAGTGATGGGAACAGTAACAGGTCCCTTATGTTATGAGTTGTGCGAGGTAGCACAGCACGCGCCCCAAAAATTAAATGCATTGGCATTAAATGCAAGGGATGTCACGTTTTCTGGAGCTTTTTTCTGTGTTTATCTTGGGGTGAGATCAGAACTCGAAAGCTCCATCATTTTTTGCCACTGCCCGCGGTTCA